GTTTTGATTTGCGAAGTTTTGTGGTAAATTTAAATTTACGTGAGAAACGTGGACATAACCATTAGATGACTCAAAATGATTTGTGCCATCATTGTAAACCCCTAATGGTAAATGACCACAGTCAGCAAAAGGAGATGTGGTTTTGAGATCACGTGTGCCAGGCTGGACGAAAAATAAGGTTTTCCCGACACGTACCGTATCTACATAGCAATTGCTATCCACTTTATGGTCCGGATAGATCTCATCAATTTGGATAGTTTTACACTTAGAAATCATCAAAATATCCCCAGCAGAAATAGCGAAAATATCGTCTCTGCTGAGTAACATCCTAGCAGCACTTGTAGGATCGCTTTTAGCAATACTTTTGATAGTCAAAATCTTGAAATTGTTCAAGACGCAAATTCGCTCAAACATGATGGAAAAGTCGCGCTGAATCACCTCGTCAAGCTTAAATTTGAGATACTGCAACTCGGTATTTAATTCAGACGGCTGCGCTGAGAATACTGGAGGTGAATTCAATGCAATATGCTCTGCGACTATAGCAGAAATGTTAATTGTCCTGTGCGCGGGTTTTGAGTTATCGCTAGATCGTTTCCCTCTGATCAGCGGTTTCACTTGGTTGATTTGAAGTGGTTTTGATTTCAAAAGTATTGATGAAAGAATAGTGGCATTGCTAGAAGTCGAAAAAGTATTGCCATGTGATGCATAAGGACTGCGAATTTTATGAGTGTAGGTAGTGTCTACATCGTAAATTGGAAAGCTTTTGGAGAAGTTGAAGTGTTTTTCATTGATTTCTCGCACTAGAGTTATGTTACTATCAAAAATTGTGCGAGGATCTTCTCCCAAAAGTTCTGGAAGCAATATGAATACGCCATTGTCCATTGCAATTGCGTTTTCGGACAAACACCACTTTGTAAGTTGTAATTTTTGAAAAAAAAAACGCTCTTGTATGTGAATGCGGATTGTATTGCTTCAAGAAGAATGTGATTTGGTGTGACATACGCGATACTGTCAATAGCTTTTACAAATTTACAAGCAATTGGAGCGTCTTTTGACTTCCAAACTACGGTACCATGCGACAGTTGACAGTAGTCATGGCTAAGTGTGCAATTTGCCATGTCGCCAAACTGTCCTAGCAATTGATCACCATCAAAAGTGGCAATTTCGCCTTCTTCTACATAAATATTTGTGGTGACTGTGCATTTTTGACCAAAGAACCAGGGATAAGAATAATGAATAGGACGCTGCGAACCGAATACTTTAGGCGAAAATATGTGTAACGGTTCACCAAGGTACTTTTTAGACTTTGCAATATTATGGCACAGAATTGGGTCGATGGAAGACATAAATTCCTCATCGCTGTTTAGCGAGAAAGAAATGTGTAGATAAGATGACGCGCAAACTTTCCTAGTTTTATTGAAACAATGAAATGCACTTAGCGTAGTTGGTTCTGTTTTTTCTACAAAAACAGAAGCCATTGTTAACAATACGTTAGTTAAATTGGTTGGTTGCGCGCAAGAAATAGTTTCAGGATAGGCTATAGGCCATCCTGATTTACCAGATGAACATAATTGATAGTCCATTGAGAATGCTGAGGAAGTAGGCAAAATCAGCGCGATTATTGCGACAAGAAATAGCGAGTTTACAGAATTAGTGACACCAGTGGAAAAATTGGCTGCTAGGAGTTAACCGTATGTGAATTACCCCTTCGAGAAGAATTTCGGTTGTTATTACGGTTGCGATTTGGTGAACGAGAGCTATTGCGAAAATTTTGGTTGGAATTAAATTGATTGCGAGAACTGTTAGTGTTGCGAAAACGATTGGAATTATCCTGATTTCTTCTCGAAGACATATTTCTGTTACGCGGAGGAGATCTAGATTGGTAATTATTGCTACTAGATTGCCACTGTTGGTAATTGGGCTCCGGCGCAAACCTTACGTGCCTAGGGCGACTACGGTTATTATTGTTATTGTTATAGCGTGGTGGCGAGCGCGATTGGTTACGGTAATTAGAGTTATTGTAGCGCGATGGAGAGCGCGACTGGTTACGGTAATTATAATTATTGTGTGATGAGCGCGGCGGAGAATATTGGCGAGTGTTATAGTTAGAGCGGTTTTGATTTGGGTGGTAAGTCCTATTGACTTGAGGAAACGGATTCTCAAGGTGGTTGAGAATCCTGTCCATTTTTGAATTAAAAAGAGAAGGGTCAAAAGCCACTTCTTCGGTTTTAATTAGTTCCCAAATTCGCTCAGCATCTTTGACTAACTCACTAAAGTTTGGGTTGAGCGGACCCAGAAGTTTTAGCTTTTGTTTTATGTTGTGAGAGAGACCGTTGTTAAAAATCATGGTCTTCAAAAATTCGCGCTCAACTTTAAAAGTGTCGCCTGGATAAGCGTCCGCAATCTCACTTTTCAGCCTACTTGCGAACATGAACGGCGACTCGTTAGGGCGCATTGATATTTGCATCAATTTCTCACGCGCCATGTTTTGGTACTGGTCGTTGTAAAAATGTTCCGTCAGTTTAGCGGTTGCGGAACGCCAATTTAGTTTGACGGATTTCTCAAAAGTATCAAAAACTGCCTTAGCTGTACCCGTTAGATGCGCTGGTAACAGATTAGCCATCTTATCCTCGCTCAGATTCATTATGTTCCCAATTTCGTTGAATACATTGATAAATTGGTCTAGGCCCTTTGCGCCAAGATCACCAGAAAAGGTTGGTAGACGGCTAGAATACGATGCCAAAGATAGCTTTTCAAATGCAGTGTCTAAGTGGTTAATGATTTGCGGATCCATACTAGTATTGGTAGGACTGGAAGAAGAAATAGAGCGCCTGTATCTAGGAGCAATAGGATGAGTTGCGCTGCTGTTAGACTGCGAGTTATTAACTACTTTTGGAGTATTGTTCATAAGTTGTTAGGCTATTGTTGTGGAAATCAATGTGTTTTTTTTGTTTGGTTTTTTTTTGTTAAGGTATGAGATACAAGATGATGAGAAATACAGAAAGAAAGTACCAAGAAAGTAAGCTGAATCAAGAAATAGAAAAAAGATCAAGTTAAGAGAGTACCTCTAACTTGAATTTGATAGTCCTCAGGTCAGCAAAATACTTTCTTTCTTCTTTCTGGCTTGTAGTGGTCGATAGAAGTGGTTGATAGTTGGCTTCTTGTCCTTGGTTGCTCGTTGGCAAATCCTCAGGTCAGCAGAATACCTTCTCCACTCCTCGTGTCGACGAATGGATATCGTCCGCGGCCCGTGATGTGCTTATATATGCACAATCACGCGAAGTTGACCTGTAGCCCAGACGTTCGTCGATGGACTACAAGGTTCAAAGGCATTGCCGCAGCATGTGCCCACTTCTGGCGGCTAAATGTCACTCTTGGTTGAGTGATTAGCCATCAAGAAAATAAGCGCTGGGAGAGTACCCTTTAGAGTGACCGCGGGCGATTGGGTAGCCGTTGGGTATTCCACAGGCAATCATAAAAACGGCCAGTGAAAGTCCTTTCAGGCAAAAGTTACTCACAGTACTTTTTCTACATGTGAAAACTTGATTTGGTGGGGCTCACAGTGCTTTTTCCACTTGCGAGAGTCAAAAAAATACTATCACAGTGTTTTTTCCACATGTGACAGTTATAAAGGCAAAAAAAAAATTTGGCTCACAGTGCTTTTTCCACGTGTGAAAACCTATTTACATATGTACAATGCCGGCTGTGGCGATAGAGTCATTGAGTTTTGTATGTGCGCGTAAGAAAAATCTGGGGGAGAATATTCCCAGTTGAAAAGAAAGGAAAATAATAAAGAAAAATATCAATGATTCACGGCTCCGGGATATCACGGCTCTAGGAAATCACGGCTCGCGGAATTCACGGCTCGCGGATTCTCAATCTAGAGAGTTGGACTCATCTAGAAAGATCGCGTCGGGAAAATCACGGTTCGCTTTTTCACGGCTCGGGGGATCACGGCTCGGAAATAGCAAGAAAAATGATTGAATATCAAAAAAAAAAGGAAAATGATATTTTAAAATGGGGTAATCATATGAATACAAACTCAAACTCATCGCCTGACTCAAAAAATTAAGGAAGAAAAATGAGAAAATGAGATAAGAAAGGAAAATATTAGTAGAAAAATAGCTACGTAGAGACGTAGGAGATGAGGGCTGGTGCCGGCGGTGGATTTAAGCTAAGATCTGCATAATCTACGCTTTAAGGTTTTTTTTCCATCAAGAAAAATTGTGTTAGAATGAGTTCAAACAACCGGGACCTCCATGTCAAGTCTAACGAGTTAGCTATTCTCGGGACTTGATCCCTCTACCCTGTTGTATTGCATCTTAACAGAACAGTTCTTGACTAGATGATTTTATCTCTATATTATGTATATCAAAATGGGGGACATTAATGGGGAGGGGACCACCGAGCACCCGGGGGGTGCCAGCTCATCTGGAGATTCTGGGCACCGCCCAGTTGGCGTGGAGACTGTCGGACCATCTAATTACTCTGCGTCTCGACAGGGGTGGGAGTACGCGAAATTTTTTACACACATGTATTATAGAAATGCGCACGTGATTTGTTCTTACTTGTAGATTATTGAAATAAATCTTTGGAAGTTTTAATGATCCAAGGTAACTTTGTAAAAGTTTTGTTGAGGCGCGGCTGTCGCCATGCCCCTTTTTTCCCTGGCTTTAAAAGATGCGCGATTATCGACATGCGAAACGATGAAAGAAGACTTCATTCCTTTCGGCTTTGTACAAAAAATTTTTACAGAGAAATCATTAATCATTACCTGATTGTTAAACAATACGTTGTAAATAGGCTAACAACTTGCAAAGCTATGCAACTAGTATTCAAAATGTAGAGGGAACAAAAAATGAATACAACTTGCGAAATGGCTATGCTTTCATGAGACCGAGTTGAGATAATATGTAAAGAATCTTAACAAGGGGAAATTTGTAAAATTATACTTGCTCTAACAAGATAAAGCACCTGGATATAGGCAAAGGGGCAATAAAGTTGCTGCATCTAGCTTTTTCTGATATTGCTGGAAAGCAACTAGCAAGGACTATGTTTTTCCTAAGAGTATCTTTACCAGCCGCAATATATTACGCAAAGTTGCTAAAATGAGATGCGAGCAAACCGAATTCTCTTTGGAAAAAATCCATTTGTAACATATAGAGGCAGGAACGTGAGAACATGGAGCTGGAGAAAGGCCAGATTGAGGTTTATAATAAAAGGCCACATGGTAACTGTACGGCACCCAGTGCGGTGATTACAAAAGTCAGAGAAATGCACATGAATCTGTCATGAATGTATTAGTCGGAATCAGAGCGATCGTAAGAACGCCTCCGTTTTCTTTCTCTTCTAGGTTTCGAAGTTGGTGCAGCTTTGTTCTGAAAAAGGAACTTCAATTGCTCTCATATGCACAAAAAGGAAGATTACCTTTGCAGGTGGTGGAGCATTGATAAACTTTGATCCGCCAGCACGCTGCGGTGGAGCGGATAATTTTGTCACAGGAGTGGGATTTGAGCCACCAGCACGCTGCGGTGGAGCAGATGATTTTGTCACATGATTCGACTCTTTCAGCCTATTTGGAGCGGTGCTAGATGTTTGCGACCGAATACCATTTGATGAGGAAGGTTGCTGTGGAGGAGGTGGGGGTGGGACAGCGGAGGGCAGCGCTACAAAGGAATACTTAGGGACAATGTGTCGCGATCAATATCTTCGAAAAGAAAAAGAGAAATCTTCTTCGCAGTAATAAAGTATACTCCACAACAGAAGTTAACCAACTAAACCAACTAACCGAATGGGTTGAACGGTGGAGCTCCCCAGTTCTGACCGAAAGGTGCCGTGAACGGAAACGATTGAGCGAATGGTGGCATTGTCTGTTGTGAAGTATTGCCAAATCCATTCACAGCTGGCGGATTAGGATGGGGAGGTGATTTAGACGGTGGAGGTGGTGTTTTCGCTCGACTGTTCAGGCTCAACGGATCCCTTGAGGAAGTAAGATCTATCTTAGAAGAAAAGTGAAAAGTCAAGAAACTTACGTAGATTGGCATGTTACATCTCCACCATTGTCATTTCCAGCATATCTCGGGCTGCGCTGGTACAATGGTCTGCAATATGCTCTCTAGCAAATATAATTTGAAAAAGTACTCGAAAACAGATGAATAAGCTAGAGTTTATCATGTCACTATTGAAGCACAATGCAAGACTGATTCATCTGGGTTGCATGCTTAGCAGCATGGCAAGCACCAGAGAAGGCACTGAACAAGAAGTGCATAAAACTCCAATCTCATTTAACAGATATAAGAATCAAGAACGACATACATTTGCTCTTCCTCATCATCTTCATAGCGAGGTGATCGCGGGGTTCCATCCGCATATCTCTCCGGAATTCTCAGAGGCGTATAGCCAGCACCAACTGAAATATCTTTTAAGAAGGGACAGCTATATCGGCGCTATTCAGTTCCCGGGCCCACAAATTTCAAAGTCTTGGATTTCGCTCAAACTCTGTGTAATTGAGTGATTCAACATGATCCACAAATATCACATCTTTCGCATAAAAACGATTCTTAATGTGGTTACGGGTAGGTATACGGCAGGAAGTCAGAATCAGGTTGGTTGAAATTTGGTCTAGGAGGTTTTGTGGCATGGTGGGACCTTTTCGTGAAGTCATGGTGGGTGTACGGTACGAGGTCAAAAAAAGATTTGTTTGGGATAACGCCTCAATGTGGAGATATGGTAATCTGCAGCTATAAATGGACACCTTTGCTTTTCAAGCCAATCCCCGCACAACTTAACGCAGATCTATGATTGTGATCCATTACCGTACACTTATCGTAACTCCGCGAGGACCCCAGAACGCAGGAAAAAGTATGATTCGTGTTCACATGTCGAATAACCCTAGACTAGATTTCAGCCAAATTAAGGTTTTGGCCTCGACTGTATACCCAACGCAACCCTAGAAAACGGCGTATGAAATCAATGTGATTTTGAAACGGCATCAGCGCGAATAACCCTTCTGGGCTAAGTTTCAACAAAATTACCGACTTTGAAATTTTGGGGCCCAGATAGTGGAATAGCGCCACTTATTCTGAATGTTTACAATGTACTACAATAGTCACGTGATCCTGATTTCGAATTAGAACATTTTCGGAGAGAGGTCAAGCCTGTCCTGCTCCCTTCGACTCAAAATCTATGCGATTCAATTAGTAAAGAACATTATGTCTGCCAGGGAGATCCTGCGCGAAGATTTATCGCAAACCACGCGCCCCTTATAAATGGAGCTCCTGCCAGCGGTCCGCGTAGGAGGACAATATGTCCCTATGGCCCCGGTCAAACTTCACGCGACTTAATCGTCGCGACCAAATCGCCAAGATTTCCATTCATTTTCATTTCACATTCAAAAATTTCGGTCTGGAAAAGTATCACAACCGAATGCAAGTTGATCTGCATGGAATGATGTTGTAACAGTTGTCTCCTCGCGATTCAGTCGCGACGATCAAATCGCGTGAAGTCTGCCCGGGGCCTATTGGCTACCATATTGCTTCTACTCGAGGGTAGCAGAACACGTGAAGTGGACGACTCTGACAAAGCGTCACCGATTTTGTGACGCGCAATTCAACACAAGCTGAAGGTCTTGTATGGGTGATACTGACACAGGTCGATATATAACCACAATGCATGACTGCAGAAATAACTGAATTGACCAGCACTTTCCATGGTTAGCAGCTAAACTGGGGCGTATGACAGTGTATGCTTCGTTTCTACTGCCCGGCAGGCTTTTTATAGACTAGTGGACCAATAATCCTAAAGGGGCGTTTTGCGTCTGCGCGCTTCGGGACCACAATGCGGTTCCCGCTATCTGATGTTTTTTGGATTGGCGTAATAATTCTCCTCGGACCGCCACTGCGCTATGCACAGAGTTTGTATAGGTGTGAACATGTCGATTATAATTCGAGTCACCAACCTGAGTCTCCATTCTCCTTCGACGTAGTCGCATTTGAAGTCTGGAATAAGAGATCATAGATAATATGACTGCACAGACTTGATATGGCAAAGAATTAAACTCACATCTAAGTAGGACCTGTTCGGAGTACGGGAACGTGGTGTACGATTTCCCCCGTTTTGGATACCGTCAAAATCATCCAAACCGTAGCGTGGTGTTGATGGCCCATAGTTAGGTGTTCGAGCAGGTGAACGGTCTCCGTATGCTGGGGTTCGCGGATAAAATGGTGTATGTGATCCTTGGTCCACTGGAGTCCGATATCCACTATTGTACGGAGTGGAACTTCCTGCTCGTGGCGTGCGTCCTCCATACAGACTAGGAGCACCACTCCCGTAGTCAGGGGAACCTCCGCTATATCTTGGCGATCGCGAAGAGTACGGTGTAGCTGATCCGTAAGCTGGGGTTTGAGCGGCAGTACCCGGTGCTGGGAAGACAAACGTCTCCGTCGATCCATATCCAGGCGTATGCGCACCCACTGAGTTGTGCGTGTGCGCAGGTGTTTTCGACCCAGGCTGAAACAGCAAAAGTTCAGCAGTTGTCCATTCCTTACTCTTCATTATGGCTGTCTCAAGGCGGATACCAACAAAGTATAAAACTATTATAAGGAAAATCAATACCTCGCCATAAAAAGGGCTTCGTGGAGCCAGAGGTCCGGGACTACGTGCGCCATGCCGAGGTGTCGGCGGAGGCGGATTTTCCTCCAGAAGACTATCTTGCCTGCTCTTCTTATTAACAGTTCGAACTGTACCAGATGCACGCCTCTTAGTAGCTAAAAATCGAAAGATCAACTTCACAGAAGGGGAAATTTGGGAAAGAGAGACAAACCGTTGTCAGACTTAGCAGCAGACGGAAGAGAGCTTCTCCTAGTCTCCGAAGAAGGCTTCACATCAACTAACGAAGCTGGGGGTGGCGGAGGAGGTGGTAGCCGAGTAACTGGATCTACGATACGTTAATTACTTATCCTATCATACAACCGGATAAAAAACATGCCTAAATATTACAATTTACTCATGACAGCCTACTGATCACAAGAACGTAGAAAACCCTCTAATTTATTTTACAAAGCTGGTTTAGATTTTCTCGATGATATCTAGACTACTCGAGTGAACAAGTCACTTGCGGATTTTGAAACACATTTAGGCTATTGTGCGCATCAATAACGTTCACTACTAATCATTTGATAACAACTATTACAAAATTATTAGGTTGGTGCAAAAGTAATGCGCGTTTTTCTAAACCTGGTTTCAAGATAGCTTATCTACATCGAAGTTTCTCTTATGAAACTTACCCAGCATACTGTCAGGAAGCTTTTTTCATGCTCTACTCAACGGTGGTTGAAAAAAGCTTCTAGCCACATTCGTTAAAAATTTATAGAGCTTCACACAAGCGCACTTAAAACCAGAATTTCACTGCACTTACTTTTTGGGCCAGAATTCAAGCGCGAGTAAAGGCATTCTTTTGAAAATTTAACTACTGTATACAGTAAAATTTTCTACGTTATGCACGGTTTACTGTTTCCTAGAAATTAGACTGAGATCTCGGCGCCTCAACATGAGTGATGGTTTTGGCCATTCTGTGGCCCATAAATTTCCTTTGAAGAGGGCAATCGCCAAAGTTCTGCTCATTTCTGTAAGCGTAAGGGTGGCCTCCTGTTGAAAGTTTTTGCAGAAATGTGGAAGCTGCTCAGTACACAGAAAATCAAAAATCTCCATATTTTGGGATTTTGAGGGGTACGAAAAAATGTCGAAAAAAGCGGACAATTTTGAATATTAATTTTTTCCTTTTCGCAAATATTCTTTATTTGAGCCCTTTTGCACTTTTTTGTACTACTGGCTTGCGGCTACAAGACGGTCAACTTATCATTTATGCCGAAAAATCTTGAAGGAAGTTATGATCGGTTAAAAATGAGGTTTCCAAAAAAAATTTTTTTTTGATTATCAATCCATACAGTGCTGGCCAAAAGTTTGCAGCCACTCCAGAATTATGCTATATCTTACTCCGTTTCGCACAGAACAAATCCAAATTATGACATTACGTGCATTTTACACTGCTTAACACTACGTAAAAAAACTTTGCAGTTACATGCACACAGAAGGGGTCCCTGGGGAAAATGGTGAAAACGGCTGAATTGAGGTTGGTCAAAACTTGCAGCCACTTTCATCTAAATGTCTTTAAAATACCTGCCACAACTTGTCACTTTCCAGTATGTGGGCTACAGATGCACCAACAAACCTTAAGATATGCAGTGCAACCGGCTTTCATCAAACTCCCAAAAAGGGAACTTTACGGAGCAAAGTTGCTTGAGCGCAAATTGACCGCAAAAATTGATTAAATTACGAGGTTATTGAGAAAGCATCGGCTGATCCATGCTCCTATAAAAAGGTTGTACCATCTGGACGTTTAGTGGCGGTCTGCAAATGTGACGGAAAAACACTACTTGGCATGCTTTAGAAAATTCCATCACCTTAACTCAGATCAGGAGCAATTTTCGACTTAAAAATTGGGCCCAGCTGTCTGAGAAGTTCTCAAACTTGACGAAAAGATTGCTTTTACAAAGACGAGCATTGGCTCGAAGTTCGGAGAGCTCCAGTGAAAACATGGAGGCGCTACTGCCAGAAAAAGTTTGCACAATCTTGGGTGGGGGAACGAAAGCCGCCAGTTTGGGCCGCCTCCGCGGACTGCTGGTCCTGGAACGACATGCAACAACGCTGCGAAAGGACCAGCTGGCCGCGAAAGGCGGCTGAACCTGGCGGTTTTCGTTCCCCCACCCCACAATCTTCACAACTGATTAATCCCTTTGGCAAATCAAACATTTCCTAGGTGTGATAATCGCAAAATTTTTTTTCTGGCAGTAGCGCCTCCATGTTTTTACTGGAGCTCTCCGAACTTCGGACCAATGCTCGTCTCCGTAAAAGCAATCTTTTCGTGAAGTTTGAGAACTTCTCAAACCGCTGGGCCCAATTTTCAAGTCGAAAATTGCTCCTGATCTGAGTTAAGGTGATGGAAGTTTCTGAAGCATGCCAAGTAGTGCTTTTTCCGTCACATTTGCAAACCGCCACTAAACGTCCAGATGGTACAACCTTTTCATAGGAGCATGGATCAGCCGATGCTTTCTCAATAACCTCGTAATTTAATCAATTTTTGCGGTCAATTTGCGCTCAAGCAACTTTGCTCCGTAAAGTTCCCTTTTTGAGAGTTTGATGAAAGCCGGTTGCACTGCTTATCTTAAGCTTTATTGGTGCATCTGTAGCCCACATACTGGAAAGTGACAAGTTGTGACAGGTTTTTTAAAGACATTTAGATGAAAGTGGCTGCAAGTTTTGACCAACCTCAATTCAGCCGTTTTCACCATTTTCCCCAAAGACCCCTTCTGTGTGCATGTAACTGCAAAGTTTTTCTACGTAATGTTAAGCAGTGTAAAATGCACGTAATGTCATAATTTGGATTCGTTCTGTGCGAAACGGAGTAAGATATAGCAAAATTCTGGAGTGGCTGCAAACTTTTCGCCAGCACTGTATTTTTTCAACGATTTGCGTTGTTAACATAAATTAATGTGCGCTGTATAGGGAGAGGTTTGATGCCTCTGATGAACTTTGCCGCACTGAAAAATATGGATTTTGCAGGAAGTTACAGCACGTCAAATTGAGAACTAGCAAAACGCGCATTACTTTTGCACCAACCTAATACTTATTCTTGTTTAGTTACATGGTATGTATGCAAATCAACTCGAAATAAGCGGAAGGAGCAAAAGCAAGACTTGAGCAAGAAAAAAAATGGTGTGCTCTCTTTAAAACATGTTCGCTCCAACGCGAGGAAATATTACAGCAAACCATAGATACTTACCATTCGTTGCAATTCCACTGTGGCCGTCTGAAGGAGCTGCTGTATGGCTAGTCTTAGGAGGCGGCGGTGAATCCTCCTCACGTAGCAAGTCCGCAAGCGGAGACGAAGTTACAACCGACTTGGCTGGTGGAGGGATGACTGGTGGAGGGACTGGTTCAGGCAGTGAATTCGATTGCTTCCGAACTTCTTTCCTTTGCCCAGACTCTGGAAAACCAATCTAACGATAAAGAACATCGCATAAATATCTACGGTGCAAACCTTCTTGCGAACTCTTCTTCTGCGAAGTTCCAGCCGCAGATGCACGCAGGCCATTTTGAGAATTACAAGAAGCAGACGATGAAGAGAAATTTTGTTGAGTATAGATGTTGTTGAACAACTGTGGCATCGGCATGGCGCTATTCCAAGACGCCGACGTACGACCTTCTTCATCTCCAGTGGTCTTGGCCGGATATCTAAAAATGGTGCGATCAGATAAAACAGATGATCTCGAGATGCACAGTTCCCACTTCAAAGTTTTGTGAGTATCAAACCCCCCAGCTCATCTCTGTGATCAAAATAACTATTCTGTTCGCCAAAAAAATAGATTACTAAAATTATTACAGAATGCTTATAACAAGGTTTATGCGCTATTTGGAATCATATTATGATCGCGGCAACCTTGAGATTGCAGACATGAATGTGTTGAAAACAGCACAAGATTCTCTCGCAGTTACATCGACAAAAGCAAACTTCCAATAATTCAACGCAAAACTCGCCACACAAAACACAGCGGGCCTTGATGCCAGGGCGACGGTCAAAAGGCGCATTACGGCCAAACTCAGCACTCAGCATACGAGCGCTGAGTGCTGAGTTTGGCGGCTTCTGTTGGATGGACAAAAATATTTACCAATCTAATGTTAGTTGCGAATTCATGAGTTTCTGAGATTGTAAACATGCTCGAGATGCCTGAACAAGCCTATCCTAAACTGGTACACTTCCTCAGAATTGTGTGCTGTTGAAACGTCATGAAACTACTGCGCTATTTGATGATCGCCTGGTACTAAAATAGGCCTCTCGACCTACACACACTCTTGTTGCTTTTATTGTGTAAACACACATCAAAGTACACGTCCCTTGCAATCTGTTACTTGAGTCGCTCACCTTCCTTCACCGTTCATCGCTGGCGTACCACAACGACTCTGAGATCTGCTCCGCATACCAGCCGAATAATTAGACCTGAAGGAGTGAACATTACTCGCAAAGCACATTTCCTCCTTCCAAAAGAGTTCTTCCCGCGGATACAACAACAACAGTAAGCGTGTGCTGTTTTAATGCATGAAAACACAACTGCCTGACCAGATTTGAGATCGTTGAGCGCTCAAGCGTAAGCCCGCGCATTTGGATGATCAAAACATTGCTTTTCTATCACAGCATGCCTCCAATTACCCGAAAAAGACGATCGTACAAGCGAAAGAGGTCAGGAAAAGTTCTGCTTGTGGGTTTCTTTGGCAATGATACTGTGTGCTTTCGTCTACCACAGCCTGCAGTACATCGCAATACCAGCATAAATAAGCTTGTAAAAAACCATCTATATGTAGGGTGATACAAAAATTTCCCAAAAAACAGAATCTGATCTGCAGCCTGTCGGTCTCCACTTGGTACCAAGTGAGATCCGACAAAATCAGATCTAAGAAAGATCATACCTAGTTCTTATTTCGAAACTCACCCTAAATCACCATTCTCTCCAAAGCGTGGGGACATCATTGGTGTCGGCATAGTCCTGTACGTTTCGCCTAAGTAAACTTTTGTTCGTGAGAAGTATGATCCATGCATAAAACACATTATCAAGCATGGATTTTGAGCAAGAAAAAAACAAATACTACAAATACACCTATATTAGCTGGAAAAATCGTTGCAGGCTAGGATTCACGGAGGATTTGTTAGAGAAAAGAGGTATGGACAGCATTACAGACTACATCACGCGACAGCATATTTATCTGTGTTATTCGCAAAATAACAACGTAAGAACATACCTCCGGAACTTCGCATGTCATATGCTTCTCCTTCTTCTCCAGACTGAAAGATCGAAGTAGGTTGATGTGGAAAAAAGCAACGCAAGCTATGTACGTGAACTTACCGGTGTTCGCGACCTTGGCCCAGGACTGCGAGAGATCTGAAAAATGCAGCATTATAAGCTCTTGTCAATCTGTGTTATTGTCTAAAGTCAACTGACGAAAAATGTCACATACCATTCGTGAGCCAGGCCCACGACTACGAGGAATGTTAACATGCAGAAAATTTAGAACCGCAAATTCGGAAATGGAAACATTTACCTGCCGCCTCGGGGGAGGAGAAGGATTGTTCTCAAGCAGACTATCTTGTCGATTCTTGACAGGAGGTCGCCGTACAGTAGATCTCGAGCGCCTCGCAGTGGGTGCTAGAATGAATGGCTAAGACAATAGAGGGAGAGACCCCAAAGTGACGATGATGGTATTGGCAACCTTCAGAATAGCGAACAAGATCTGGTACAAGAACGCGCGACTCGCTTTTCAACGACCCCACGGATGTTATAGGTGGGAGGGGGGCAAACCAATGGTTCTTCAAATCCAGCAGCGCACTGGATTTGAGCTATATTCTTAGAAGTCGATCTATGCAAGGATTGTTTGCCCTACTCATATTTTACATTCCAAAATGAAATCAAATTAAAATACACATATCGAATGCATGAGACTCACCAGTTGAACTTCCCTGAGCAACGCTGGTCGTCTCCTGAAAAAATGACAAAATTACATGGAAATAAACAAAGACGCGCTACATACCTGCACATTCATATGGTTCTGTGAATTTGGACCAGGGCTACGTGAAACCTGCAACGAAAGCAGTCCAAGTGTAGTATGCGATTTCTACAGAAAACACAAGCCGTGACAAGCTGCAGCAGCTTCTTTGCTTTGTCTGAGACAACTAACCGCCCAAGGTTGCGCCACCTTGGCAGAGTGAAGTTAGCATTATCAGAATTTTACTTGTATAGTCTAGTTCCACACAAGATACCGGTTTCTACGTGACCAGAAATAAATATAATGAGGAAAAAAGCAACATAAATCTACTGAAAAACTAAACAAGCCAAAGTTGGACGCATGGACACTATTTCAGTAGATAAAGCCAATCCAATTAGAACGTTCTGTGATACACAAGGACCTCTTTTGTTACTAGATCAACAAAATCAGAATAAGGAAGAAGTAAAGTTTGTAGAGCAAAAGCTTACACGTCTCTGTGGAAGAGGAGGCGGAACTGGCCTTTTTCTCGACGTATTTGCCTGCATACTTCTAATATCACTGACGGGTGGCCGACGTGTTCTTGACCGTGATCTTCGCTCTAAAAACGACTAGAGACAAAGCATTTTATTGAGCGAAACGTATCAATTACTTATAACATGAATGAAAAAAAATGAATTACGGATTGAGGCATACCTTGGGATGCCGCAGATGCTTCGTTGACTGCTTGTCTCCTGTTATCCGTGTCTGCAGATGCTTGGCCATTAGTACTTCTATTGTTTGTGGGTTGTGCTCCTGGCACGTTTTCCAGAACAGGTACTATCCATTTATGGACGTAAGAGAAGAACTGCGCTTCGCGCTTAATGTCCTCGATAGTGATTTTTCCTTCCTTGAGCTGGACGAACTGCTAAAAATCAAGTAGTGAACGTGTTACAACGACCATGTAGGGGACAACCTCTCCTCCGCCTTTTGCGTTGCATTTGCATCCTAAACACATACCGCACAGGAAGAAGTTGACTCCACACTTTTTACAGTAATAATTGTAGACTCGTTTCGATCTGATGCTAAATCATATTGGAACAGATTACTGAGTGTTCAACTCACCCTCTTATTTCCGAAAAATGTAGCGCCAAATGGTCCATTACAGAAACTATTGAGAAACTTTTGGATCTCACGCAGTCCTTGAAGTTGCATCGGAAACGCAGTTGCTTCCCTTTTGGTATAACTATCTATAAAGCTAGACATACAAATAGTTAGTTCGTAGGATATCACAAACCTCCTCCATTTTACTGAGCTTGATTTCTCGATATGATCATGAAGAGTACCTGCAAACGCTTTTCAAGACAACTGGTCAAAACCACAATGAGCACAACAATTCAAAGTACAATCTGACTGCAACATCTTTCTCTGAACATCACATACTTCAAATACCTTTATTGAACAAGAACTGTGAATGCAAACCAAACACACTAGGATAGAACACAAAGCAACAACAATTTCTTCACAAAGAATTCGCTTCACACAACCCGTTTCCTGACTCAATTATATGAAAGTGGTTGCTGATTACGTCAAGATAACATCAACTGATCACAACAAATTGCGCCCTGTAAATAACCAATTTGTCGCTTCCTTGAAAAATGCACAGAAAACAATGATGAGACGGATCGCAGTATTAAAATAGAAAAAACACTCAGCAGAAGTGGAAAGAAAAGAAGTACAGCGTACCTTACTGATAATGTCACTAAGAATGCAATCGATAGACACCGTTCCCATAATACTTCAAGCAGAAACAACCACAATCGAAGCTAAACCCAGCTTTGTTGACTTTCATGGTAAGTAACAATAGGCACAAAAATCTTCTCAAGAAAAAGGTTTGGTCCATAAAGCGAAAACTGTAAGGCTATAGCAGATATGCAACTCAAGCTTACCAATATTCCACATACTTTTCAATGAGGTTACGAACGACCGAACTTCCAATAAGTTATACAAGATGAAGTTGCAAAGACATTCAGTGACGTAATTGTTCGTGTTTTAAGTTTCACATTTCTTCCCACATTACTCGTTGAAACGTTAGAATTGGCGAACTTTTGGCAATGCTGCCTATGACACCCCGCTAGTGTTTTGAGATGGAGTAGGTCACTGATGTGTGAAGTCCGCATGTTCTGCACCTTCTGTGGCTGGAAGACGATGACAGTTCTGCCCCTCTGAGGAAGCAATTTTATACCTTCGCCTTCTCAGAAATAACACTAGAATTTGAGCTATTGTAATGCGCACTTAGAGTAACAACCTTGTGGAAACAACCCGATTGTAGGACCATGCACAGCTCAAAGATCTCCCTGTAATCTCCGAAAATGCCCTACCCACCGAGTCCCATATGAATGATCATTCGTTCTGCGTCTCTAAACTCGTAATCGCCTTGCACCCATTTATTTGCTACTTGGAAGCAGAAAAGAAGTTTGGGCTTGTATAAATCATGTGTGCAGAGCGATTCGAGTATGATGCGTCCCCCAGAATTGTTCCCATATGAACCATCCACGTGGATGTCTTTCCACCATTGTAACGTGTCAACTACGAATAAGCGCCTTAAATCTGCTGGAGTTAAAGGTAACATCCGGGCAAAATTTCGAACAAATTTTTTCTCGCTTACTTGGGCTCATTCTTCCCGCTGACTGTGAAAATGCAGCTTACAGAGTACGAAAATGGGCTATTCTAAAAGCTGTTGATTTTATATGGAAGCTCGCCGCCGAGTTAAGGCGCAGAGTCGTGGTGGGACCCTAGGCTTTGACTGTATGCGGCATACGTTGTATGTAATCCAACCATCCTTCACCATAAACATATAATACAGAAGCGAGAAGCTGTACAAGCTAATTTTTCAGCTTTTTGTGTAATCCCCGTATGATTCCCGCAGCCGACCGTTTTTTCTTTAAACTCATTTTTCTTCCTTCGGAGTTATTACAAACATTCCAAAATTGCACTGATTATTTGACCCACGTACTGAGTATGTTGCTAATAAGAACAAGTTTCTATGATATCGAATTTTTCGATAATCCCAACTTTCGACTTGCGGTTAATCGTACATTTCATGACTCCAAGATATAATGTTCTTATGAGCAACATTCTTCGCACTGTTGGTTTAGATAATTAGTACAACTTTGAAAAAGTTTTCGTTTACTGCGAAGAAGAAAAATGAATTTGAAGAAAGACGAACGGCCGCCGAGGATCATTAGGGGATCATAAAAAACTGAAAAATGCTTCGTGTACAGCTTCTCGCACCTGTTCAATATGTTCATAGTAAAGGATGGTAGGAATACGGATAGGTCGACAGCATGAAATCCAGATAACTCTTGAAATACATTACTTCAAACTGTACTTCCTAATTAGAAGCCTGCGGGCCAATGACACTGCGACAAGCATCTAAGGTCTTCGTCCTCCCACATCGTGATAATCGTGTCAATTGCGCACCGTCCACCCTAGGTTAGGGGTCTTAGCCTTTAGCACTTATGATAGTAAGAGCCACTATTAAGCCAATGCCTATGCCGCGGTGTAAAATGTCGCTTCCGAAGAAAGAAAGTCGCTTCACAATGGCAAAGACGCCTGAGGACCTCAAGTCGGCACCGCCCGACTTAAGTAAGCCCGTCCATTCGTAGGATGCGGTCCAAGAGGGACCAAAGGCCTGTCGCCTATAGCCGTAAGAGATAACTGGGAGCGCGAGCGCTGTGTAGAAGATTTTGGCAAGGAACCAGGAAAACTTGGCGAGAGCATCTATTAGATACAAACCCGAACAATATTTCTTGGAATTAACTTTCAACTAACAAAAACTGCGCCTTCAAAATTCATCATTAAAAGCTGAGGAGTTTCAAGTTCCATGTTGTGTAATCTAAGTAAATTTTTAGTGGAAACTAGTGAACCAGCAAATAAAGGTGCTAGATTGCATTCGCGCGCTTCGGAACCGCACCGCGGTTTCCCGCTATTTGCAGATTTTTAAAATGAAGTAACGATCCTTTATATATTAAACTCTGGATTAGAAGTTGAAAGTGGGAAGTGGTAATCAGGAAATAATGTTAGCTAAATTGCATGTGATGGACTTTTGCTTTTGTGTACAATCTCGAAAGGATTAGTGGCATACTTTCAATGGCAAATCATCCTATGAAAAATTCAGCGTCAAAAATTAAAATTAGCATGAGTTTGTAGTTTTGAGACGAACTGCATATTGCATCTCGGCACAAGCCTCCAGATGTGTTTTTGCATTTTTACTGCTTTGAATTATTGACTCAAAAGGCAAACTATTCCTATATCTCAAAAAAGAAAAAAATGAAAATCCCCTCCTCAACAATTTGAAATTCAAAATTCATGGAAAAAAAGTTTGTGTAGGGAAGTTGACTTTTCTTACCACTACAATTCCAGATTTTCACTTACTTTAAAGGCACCGTCCACCCAAATCCTTGATCTTGAATTTTATCTTTTTCAACATCTCTTGTGCACTCTGAGTCCGAATCCGGGCCTAAAAATGAACGAAAGTCTCAAATTATTGAGTTCTGGATGGAATCTTCGCAATCCGAGCACTTTTTGCGCCAGCAAATCAGGCGCGGTCAGCTGCAGGCCCAGCGCGGGGCAGAAAACAGAAGAACGCTGTGTCTGATCGATTTCTTGATCTTTGCGCATGCGCGCGAAATCACTGAGGGGGGGGGGGCGAGACGAACGTACCGCTTACTTGCTAGGGAGGAGTCAATGTGGCGAATCCATCTTTCGAAGGACTTTCGAAGCGATTTTCTCGCTTTGGAAGCAACTTCAGACAACAAGAGTTGGGCAACTTTACCGCTGAGGGCCACGCTAATGTTAGACATTGAGGTCTCATGCACTCTATTTTGGGTGGACGGTACCTTTGAGGCCCAGTGGATGCACCTTCCAATTTGAATTACAAATTGTTTTTCAATTTATTTAAAGTCATGCAAAGTTATGAAGATTTGCTCCCAAAAGATGTCCTTTCCAAGCTTTCTTCGGTCCTTGCCAAAATATTTTCCGCAGCCTCGCGCTATCAACTGCAGATACAAGCGGTAGCCCTTTGTTTCCTCCTGCACCTCCTCCCCCCTCCCCCCCCCCCCTCCCCTCCCCCTCCCACTAATGCGCGCCTATCCAATGACCGTTCCGGAAGCGCCCATCCAATAGCCATTCCGGGCCGGACTACGGGTTCTCTGCAATGGGAATTGTCGGGTTTTCCCTAATTCCCCACATGAGACGACCCCGGAACGATCAAGAGAAGTCGAGAATCTGGGTGGACGCTGACTCTACCCAATTCCATTCTCTCTCCTCATCAACTCTTGGCTCTTCGAACAAACTTATTGTCGCCTTTTCCAAAACTCGCGCTTGCCTTTTTGTGGGTATTATCTCAAGGCTCTACTGCTCGCAAAACAAATTCGTTCCTTCTCCAGAGCAACGACAAGGCACCTGTCCCCGCTACCGTGTTTGAAAGGCGACTTTCATCGTTTCGTATTCTTTCGCGAGGACCCCTCGCGAAAACGTCGACCCCCCCCCCCTTCGCAGCAGCAAAGCAGATGCGAGTCGCCGTCGTCAGATACGATACGGTCTGTCTGGAGATGAAAGTCTCAGCACGGGTGGATTTGCTCTGCCGCTTGAAAGGTGTCATAATCAGGCCCCGAAAATCAGTTTCCCACCAATAGCGAATAAGTGAAACAGAGAAGCGGCTGAACCGCGTAAGTCTGGAACCTACCATATGGTATTCGTGATCAGCACGTCGAATAATCCCTCTGTCCAAACCAGCGAATTCCGAGATTTCGACCCCATGCCGTATACCTACCGTAACCTCTCAGAAAAGGCCCCATTATGCGGAATGAGTCATTTTCGTGTCAGGTCGACTAAAATTTCTTATGGCGCACTTTCGGTTAAACCGTGATCTTCAATTATTTGATAGTATGGAAGTGTTGCTTTTCTGAGTAGCAGCGCAATTATGCTAAGTCCACAACTGCTGCTATAGGCCGTCCGCGCTGCGCACGGAGCAACGCTGTTGCTTATATCGAAGGCAACCAACGTGTTGAAATGTCCGCAAAAGCTCCGCCCAACGCACGCCGGGGAGACGACGATAACATCTTGTTGATAGCAAATTGTTGCTTGTTTACACATTCACAACCAAGCCGCTTTTTTGATGACTGCCATTTCGGATCAGAGCATATTTCGTACTACCAAGTTTGAATAGTACATTCTGGCCAGTGTTGGGTCTCAGGGTCTGAAGTGTTGATCTTTCTAAAAGTATTCTATGATATACAGAAAATGTTCAGTCTGTACGAAATGTTTCATCGTAAACTAGGAGAACACTGAGTCGTACGGTCGTGAATGTGTTAACATTTCAGCCACGTGTCGTATGGTCATAGACGCAGAGCACGACTAGAGGCAATGGCGAAGTGAACGATAAATTGTGCGCGCTCGCACTAACCTAAAAAAACTGTGCGCACCAGTTGCCCCAGAGTGAGGCGACGTGTAGGCTCGTTAGCACCACTTGCGCTGCGGTTGCCTCGTGCTGAGACACACCCAATCCATCAATCTTTGTTAGCCATCACAATAGCGAGTAGACAATATGCTTTGAAATTCGGGTGCAGTGCAACTGACATCTGGCAGAACGGCAAATCGCCTAAGTATGTCCAAGACCTACTGAAGAACTATTGACCAAGAAATCAGTCCGATGATACGTTATTCGTTACAGTCCGTGTCAATCACGTGCTCCCTTTTTCGTAAATGCAGTGAGCTTCGCGCCACGTTCGCGCGCGTATGACTCTGCTTTTAAGAGGGCCTTATCGATTGAAGGTCTGCATGCGGGACCCTTGCGTTGCGCATGCGTAGTTCTCATGCGAAAGGGAGTACGTAATTGACATTACTCTATATACTCAGCATTTCATGCTCCAAAAAAAATATTTTGATTGTATAATGCAAAATCACCAAGGAGAATTAAGTCACTATGACAGTATAGTTAAACGGTAGCACACTTCACCATCTCTGCATTAGTTGCAAAGGTGCAGTTATGTGATAAAACACTTAGACAAACATCACCGAACGTTGTATGCAACATATATGCATAACTCAGCCCTATGCAAACTTGCATCTGATGATGACTCGCAGCAGAAATTATTTAAAATCAATTATGCTCAGATAAACTCACTTCATCGAACTTTATTTACTTTGAGTCAGCAGGAGGAAGAAGCGCCACCTGAAAGAACTCAATTAGTTTGTCTAAACATGAAAAAGCGAAGAAAAAACATGGTTTGGTGCGATGCTCTTGATAACAAACAGACTGCGAGTTGAAAACATTCTAAAAGCTGCACGATGTTGATGATGATCGTCCAATGACGCAACTTTTTCATGCATCGATCGGCAAGCATTGTAGAGTGCTCTTCGCAGAGTGCACAAATTATCGATAAGCAATGCTTCCAGCAATGCTTTCGAGAAGTGCCATGAAGAGATGTATGCATTACCTGAGTATCGAGAGGAGTTCATATGCGTATAGAGCTGCGCTCGTATAAGGCTTGGTTAGGACATGGGAACGTACAAAAGGCAGGAGGGAAGGGGTAGTGGGAAATAGGGCAACAGCTGTATCGCCCGCTGGTTGGGGAAAACGAAGCCTCAAATGCCGCGCCCGAACTGCTGTTTTTACATCTGTGGGCGTGTTCTGGACATCAAACTATGTACTTTGGGAAAATGGCAAGGCAATGGCGGCGTTCGGGCGCCCGCACCCCTGCATATTGATTGGTGGCAGCAATTTTCGCTCGAACCAGGTTTATACTGGAGAACTGTGGCAGATCCGAAAAAGTTGTCTGAGCAGCTTTTTATGCATGCGCTAAACATCAGTCCTGCAGGCAAAGAAGTTGCGCTTTCCATTTCCACACTTCGTCCAATGTCGAATAGAAAAATATGACGGGCAGTTGCCCGAAGTCGCAGGCAAATTCCATCATGAACTACACTGCTCTCAATACAATGACCTCTCCAATTGGTGGTAAGGTCATCACCGTTGATAACGGAAACTTATATCCAATACAACGATGAGCTGAGTGATATGAAGAGGTGACTGTACAATCCAACTTTGAGACTTTTCTAGACAAAGCAATGCATGACTTGAAAATCATAGACTTGTTCGAACTCTCAAAAAGTCTCAGAAGTACACAAAGTACACACAGCTGCCAGGAGTAGGAAAACAGCGAGAACTTTGCAAAGAGCACACGGCAAGGTTACGGTATGCACGATAGCGGCAAAAACGTACGCGATCGAGTCGGTTGATAGCAAGGACATGGAAAGTGCTCCATTCAGCTACGGTCGCGCAGCGTGTTTACGCGAGATTTATAGCTTTCCATACGAAAAACAGCAGTGCACTCGAATGTTTCGCAACATTACGATAGTCCATAAATTTTGCACGCCTGTTCGAACCGCTTCCAAAAAGCAATTGGGAAACCACACGAAAAATGAAGAACACAAACTACGGAAATTTTTCATCCGACAGCAATCCTGCTTAGAAGGAACATGCTCATTAGAACACACTTCAAACTCTACTTTACTAAAACACGGATACTAATACTTTTCACAGTAGTTTCTAAACCTTCTATTATTTTCGCCAGCATTATAAATCAAGCTCTGCTATGGCACCAACAGCGATCACTTACGGAACTCTGTTACATCTGCTTGTGCTCGTATCCGTTCTCGGCCCAGCACAACAAATTGCGTAATGTCAGAGTGATGAGGGTGTTACAGCCGTATTTCTGCTGCAGCAGTCTTTCACGTGCTAGACAAAAGATCATGAACGTGCAGCGAAAAAGTGCTAAAGCAACGTTGTACTTTATAACTGCACTAATCTGTAGTTTTTGAGAGTTATGATAGGGAACAACTCTTGAACATTAACTTAGAAGAGCTAGAGCAACGTTGTACTTTGTAACTGCACTACTCTGTAGTTTATTTGAGAGTTACGATGGGGAACAACTCAATGAACGTTAACTTAAAATGAGTAATGGAGTTCAAGAGCAAGGCTACAGCAAGAAACTTTCAAGTCTAAAAGCGCTTGTTCAAAAACGTGCAGAGAAACCTTCACTTAGCTGAGATGATAGTATAAGATTTACTCATTCTTAGCTGCAAATGCCCTAATGAGTTACTTTCTCACATCTTTCCCCTCTGCAGCTGTATAGATCTCACTTCAGTACATTCACAGGTGTATTTGTTCAGCGAGAAGGCGCGAAATCGTTCGTGATCATCTCACCAATGCGTAAGCCAAACGTTTGCAAACATTTCCCTTTACAGCCAGCTACTGTCACAGCGGGTGCGCCAATCTTATTTACTTTTATTCACGAATATTGAATGTATGAATCCAAAGCTTGATGCCACTTTGACTTTGCGGCGAGGTCTATTTTTAGCATTCATTGCTCACATAAGGTCATTTCCAGGACATTTATGATGCCTCTGCTTTTTAAGCGCTTTTGCAAACTCTTAAAACTTCCACTAATCCAGAGAAGCACTTATTAGAAACAAAGTCTCTTTTTTTGTCAAGCGACACTATTTTTAAAGCCCATCCTTACGAGGCACTATTTCTTTCTCTCCTCATGTTACTGAGAAAATTTTTCAATGTAAAACTTCCCTATCGATTAGAAAGAGAAACTATTCTTCTATGGAAACTCTCACAACGTCGCTTGCGTAATTGCAGCAATTTATCCAAACCAGTCCCAGCGGGGCAAAATCAGTGTGAACTACTCGCATATCGTCCTTTCCTTTCAAAATATAACGACGGAACTGAGCAATGGGTCCCAATCCTGCATATTCACACCCGATCTTCATGGAAAAGGAGTGATTTCCTATTGCCATCTACCCCCTACCAAATCTTTCGTCCAAAGCATGACAATGACAGCAAAAGTACGTCCAATCTATGCGCGAGGTACAGTAACTCAACTCTTGTTCGGGACATACGAAAGTATGCACATAGACGGAGACAGAGAATAAAAAGTATAAATCTGGACGAATTCACAAAAAAGGACAGAAGAACCAATTACGTTGGCCTGGCAAGAATGCATTGAAAATATTCCGAAAAGGCATGTCTCCATACAATCGGATGCGATCAGCAGCAAAACTAATCACAATGCTGACGATCCAGCATTGACCTCATTATCTGTGCGCAATATTTCTGTGGGCATCGCTATCGGTTATGTGCCAATGTCCTACGGTTCAATTAGCAACGCCTTTACGACCTCTATTGTTATCATACGCTGGTCGATAAACGCAGAACTTCTGAGGCTAATCGCAAGTAAGGAATGTAAGCATGAAGATGGACTTTGAAAATGGAATATAAACTAGCATTGACTGACGTCGAAGCGCATGTTAGAATTCACCATGATGGAATTTATGTCTACTCACCTTTTCATGTTCATATTTTGTGAAATCGAAAAACACTGACTGTCTTTATGACTCTAAAAAAATCTTACTTCTTGAAGAAGATGAGGATAGATACGCAACTTACCGGATCGCTGTTCACAGTCAATTCGGCAGCGCAATGCTTGTCAAATGTCGCCAGAAGTGCCGCAACCTCACACCTACACAATGTCAACACACGATTTCAACTTTTGCCTCGTAACAGAGCGAGGAGAGAGCAAACCTAAAAGCTTTTCAACCCAGTACAAGCTAGAGGCTGGCTGAGACCAGTTCTTCTAATAACACGTTTGAGAGCACTATTTATGTAAGAGAACTAGCACTTAGTCTTGTAAATAGTTTTTCCGACCACGGAACCGGAACACCCGTCAAGTTTGAAATATTAAACGCAGTATTTTAGGGTTTTCATGAAAAACGTGATAGCGAGATAGACTACGGTCTCCGCAGTCGACCAAACAAAAAGAGACAGTAAGACAAAAGTCACGCTCACTACCTCGCAATCAGAAGCTACCATATGCATGCAAAAATCTCCAAGAGACAGGAATCAAAGAATACGGCTGTCGAAATGCGTACGCGATGACCGACGCTTTGTCGTGTAATGATTGTCCTCGGTGCTAACACCGTAGGCGCTTCGGGACCCCACAAGTATGTGTGTACTTTTGCATCATTTGGAGCGAGCCTACCTCGGGTCCCGCGTGCCGCCTCTCGCGGATCCTGCACACTGACACATGGGGTACAGTAAATAAGTTTCACCCACTTTAGAAATTTGGAAGGGCTGGCGTCCGTCTTGCAACGGTTCGCGCCTTGCAGCTACAGTCATGTCGTGCTGAGGGACTCGCCATACTTGATCCTGTTGATGCGCTTGATCCGCTTCGTGCAAAACGCGCATACACACCAGTTTGTCATTCGGCGCCGCGTAGGTAAAAAAGAATTTTATATGGTTAGGAACGTTCAGACCGCGCCGATACCCGTCCAGATCCGCCCAAATACGTCCGAATCCGCCCAAACCCGCCTAAATACGTGCTGTACCCGACGATGACAAATAAGTGACGCGCGTTTTGCACGAAGCGGATCAAGAGGATCAAGTATGGCGGGTGCCTAAAAACTCACTTCTGCGTCTTTCATTTTCCACGGCCTTTGCTAGGCAAAGTGCCAACGCTATGCGCTCGCAAAGCCTCCAGCGATGCGGACTCGCTGTTCCACTTCAAAGGTTTCGCTTGCTCCGAGTTGATATCGTAAAATCAAGTTTTACCTAAGTTAGGCGGAAGGTGCAAGAGCTGTAGCTGCACGTTTTGTGTAGAGATGCGGGTTTGTTATAGTTGTCGGCGTGCACCTTCCGCCTAACTTAGGTAAAACTTGATTGTACGATATCAATTCGGAGCAAGCGACACCCTTTTTGACACCCTTTTTGGGATAACGCTCACTACAACTCTCTTGAGCCAGAAGAGGCGCAACGCAGCAAACACACCCTAACAATGCCAAAAACAGCGGCAAACAGCAAAAAGCATTCTTGAGGCTCCGCCCAATCTACCGCTAGGACTTAGTGTATAATAAGGGATCTGTCATAACTCCCAGTTAGGATAAATCTTATACAAATGTACAAATATGGTTCCCTGACAGCATATCAAGCTCTATGCGGCGGCAACAAATTTTCTAGATTTTGGTGTCACACCGTTTGCCTGCCATAAGCCCACTAGAATTCCCACCTGTGAAACGGCTGCTTTTGTAGTCGACATATCTATTTACAGCCACACAATTTTTTTGAGTTGTTACGCAGGAGAGGAATACAGCGGTCCATCTTCTTGAAAGGAAGAATCTCTTGGGATGCGCAGGCTAAGGTAAGGTGAGAATGAGATCGTGACGGTTTGCTTATGCAAAGTGTTTTCCGCTCTGTCGTTCTAATGGGTTTTTACAATTGATTTTGAAAAGATTTGCAGAGTATTCTCATTTTTCAGTGGTTAAAGGCAGTGGCTCGGCAGAATGATAACTTTGGGATATTAAGGGAGCGCGCGGTAGCAGCTTGCACTTCCAACATTTTACATAAATTCTAATTTATTTGCACTATCGGATACTGTCTATCGGATTTCATTCGAAATAAACATAATTAGGCGATAGGAACATCTAGCTCACATTTCTTCTTCCTCTGAGCTCTGGATACAGTGTACAGCAAGCCTCTCAGAGTTCATTTTGTTCACCTCTAGATATCTGAAACGCGTCCGATCAATTCAGTCTGTAGTCATCTTCATACTCACTTATTTTTGGACTGATATCGACGCCCGTTCAGACTTGTGATTGCCTTCTTGTAAGCTTACCAGAGACCTCCCACAAATTTCAATCCCAAATTCATGACACCTTAATGACGCAGCCAGCTAGCTCTGGGGCACAGTCGACAATGAATGGATTGTATCGACAGTGCTCCACAAAGCAGTGCATGCATCGTCAGAGGACCATAATCGAATGGGTAGAACGGAGAGGGATTGGAATAAATTCACTACTAGATAATGTCCGAACTCGTGCCGTAGCAGCAGCGGCCCGAGAAATTTCCGCAATGAGTTACCCCAATTTTTCTCGAACAGAGTGATGTGGCGCCCTGGCTCTACCACATCTTATGAAAACATCATTAGTTGTGAGACCACTTCGAGTTTCAATACTACACGGACCTAGGCCCTTGCCCCCCCCCCTCCCCGCCTAATCGGTCCACCTCTGCTGTACAGAAGGTTTTATAGCGAACATGGATGTGACGGGGAAATGAACGCACACTGATGTTTCTCATCGAGAAGGAAAGGGGGGAGGGGGTGTGGGAACGAACTTTGCCACTTTGGGCCGTCTCCGCGGACAAGGTGCACTTTTTGCGACGCCGCTAGGAGGACGGTCAGGAGGCAGATCGGCGCGTTTTTCGCGAAGCGATGTCGCAACGTACTCGGCCGATACAATAGCAGTGCGTATGTATTCTAACGTGAGCCATGCCGCTGCTTGTCGCGAGAACCAAGGCGTTTGAACAGTTCCAGCTCAGCGCTCAGTTCGAGAGTTCGGGAACAGAGTTCATACTGATCCGGAAGTTAGAAAACAGTTCCAGCAGTTCCCGAACTTCCGGATCAGTTTGAACGCAGCCTAAACGAGAGACACGGACCTGGCCTGCCTTGACAGTATAGGTGCGTCGTTATGGAGCGTATCTATGTGCATCATCCCAATTTTGGTCTGTCGTCAGTTGAAGCTGACTGACAGAAGGAGTACTACTCTTTATTGGCAAAATTATGGATGGCAGTGAGTACGAAATGAAGAACCCGGAAAGAAGAGCGGTCAGATTGCAATATTTATTGGAGATATAGATTACATTAAGCTCTAGTCACGTTGTCAATGAGATCCTATGTCGGATAAACAAATGGAATGCGGAGTTTGGTTATTGATGTCGTTTTCCCCTATGCGTCCACAAATTGACTCTGCGGGAAGATTGTGGCATGCGAATCGTCCGATACTAATATGTTCAGGCTGTAATAAGCCATTGGGCAGGATGGTACAAAATAAGACTTCGTAATGAATTAAGCTAACCTTTTGACAGAATTTAGCTTCCTGATGGACGCAAGCGTTCTAATTTGCAAAATCTAGATGCCTATATTACTTACTCCTGCAATCAACGAGAAGTCTTTCTCCCTAAATACTTGAAATTTGCCGCCCAAATTTGAAATATCAATGCATCATAAAGGGAAAGCGAACGATGGGACAGAGTACAAAACTGCCATTCCAATAGGTTGCACTTCATTTGATCCAATTTGATTTTCTATTGATTCAGCACGTCGCTATCGAGGGCGTAGCCCTGTCATAATTCTAGTTTGATTCATTGGGACTGCAATTAGCGCAAAAGCTAAATTCATTCATTTCACTGACAGTGCAAATAATGCAAAGTAGTGCTATTAATCTGAGGGTTGGACTGTCCTGCAAATCTGATCGCCATCCTTTGCGAAAGGACAGCCATTTGACTTTGTTGAGATGCAAGGTTCCAAAGTTAGGATTGTTTACTTACTGCTCGCATTGCGATTGAAAGTCAAGTAAGTTCATATGCAGAATCTGCGCTGATATTGGATGGTGTGGCTTCTACAGTCAGTTTCATCCCGGATTAGACAAAACAGTTTAAGTGGAGCAGCGCGCGCGCACCGCCGGAGGCTTCGCGAGCGCCCAGCGCTGGCGTTTTGCCAAGCAAAGACTGAGGAGAGTGAAGAGACGCAGACTTGGGTTCTCAGCGCGATATAATATACAGATATGTAGATATGTAGCTGCGAAACGATGCGAACATTGCGAGGCGGATGCCCGCCACTCCAATTTCCCCCAAAGCGGGACGAAACTTACTGTACACTCGAGTAGATTTTTCCGCTTAATATAGATAGATAGTGTGCTCGCATTGCAGGTGAAATGCGATAAAATTTACACGTGAACACATAATGACCACTCATGTGACGCCGCCCAATTGCGCGCGCAAAATACCGGCACTACCAGCGTAGCTAGCTTTTTGTCCACGCGCAAACCTTATAGCATTTTACCTACAGTGCATACACAATATTGAGCAGAAAATCTAATCGACTGTGCATGTGAATGCAATACATCGGACTCCACTCATACCACCGCGCCGGTGTAAGCGTTACCTGTAGAAGCACGTGATACGGTTGAACCCTGAACGTTCGATGTGCTGAATTCAGTAAGTTTCACGTGAAATACTGAGAGGTGGGAATATTTGTTTTCGTTCACATTGGAATTAGTAAAAATGTATACATAGATGGAGAGTGTTTCATCCACGTTCATCCAGTTTCATCCACGCATTTGCACTCTCTCACTGTTTGGCTGCGCTTAAAAAGCTGAATGCACGATTTGAATGCAGAATCTGTTCACCTTCTCATGCGCAATAGCCCAGCTGAGTACCTACTACTGTCTTTGCTTGTACATGGTCAAACGCGCCGTTATTGAGTGGACATCTAACACCGCCACTACGGAAGTTTGGGTTTGATGCGAAATTCGACAATCTCAAATTCCTCGCCTCTCAACTCGCCGATGCTCAAACATGGCGGCAAATTGGGGAGGGAAGGGGGGGGGGGAGGCGTTGAGGGAAGATACAAGACTTGAATAAGTGGAAATCTGTAGGGGCCAGCGAGAGGGCATTCTGCGAGTGTAGTTGCCTGCCCTTTCGCCGAAGGAATTGGGTTCAATATTGGCGAATAGTGCAGTGAATTCAAATCGATGTAGCGCGTAGATCTAGGTTTCGGAGTACGCTTGCCCTATGCTCAGAAATCTCCTGCATTGTGCTTTATTATCGACTAGCCTATGACATGCTCCCTGCCCCGAAGTATATGTGTGCCAAGTTTGGTCCAAATTGGTTCAGAAATAAAAATTTCTATTCCGCACATACGTACAGACATACAGACATACAGACAGACAGACAGACAGACATTCAGCTTTATATATAAGATTTGCAATTCACTGGATCAGCTGCATCCCATCTGGTTGAAATGTGTGGAAGGCGTGTTTGGCAGTAGAAACGAGGGTATTTGAAAGGTGTAGGGTAAAACGCAATCAGTTTGAAGCACTTTTGAGCCGATACGGTATTTCCCCATGCTTGAGGCGTGGGAAATACCGTATCCCAAGGCATCAACGGCTGACGAGCTTGGGCCCCTGTACTCTTGGCTGCTAAATTTTTCAAAACTGCAGAAAGGGGGTTGGAGGCGGTGAAAAGGCAAATACTTT